TACTTTGCTTGACACCGGTCTCTGCAATGGTTTCAATTAAAATTTCGCGCGGGAAATTTCCCCGGCCGGGACCGGATACGAGTGCATTGCGCATGCTCGTGCGTTTGACCGCGGTTAAGCCTGCAATACATCAGGCACTCGGCATTTGGGGTACACTATGGGGATCATACATGAGGTACCTACCGAAGAATTCCACTGCGTCCTTCGCAGCCGTTATTGGGCTCGTCTTGTCCGTTTGTCGAACGTTATTGGGCCTGGAGCCAAATATCAACATCAAGATCTAAAGATCTCTAAAGATCGTGTTAACTGAGAGTTTTATCATATTTTCCTCAAACTGTTGAAACATTGATATTAAATGTTTAAAGTACAGCAGTTTTTGGGGTCCCGTAACGAAAGGGACCTTTGAGAAATGATCCCCTGAGCCTTAACAAGTCAACCCCGGATAGTGGCTAGCATTGGATTTAAAAAATTGAGCGAGTGGGATTACACGCGATGAACTTGTTTGGAAGAACTTGAGTTTGTACGATAAGTGGCGTTTTCACGGCCACTGTCGTCCTCAGAGATCCAGGGGCAGCTACTTGGGAGGATAGAATGTTCGTGGTGAAAGCTTACAGTAAACTTTCACCACGAGCCGATTCTGTCCTCTCGACTAGCTGCCGCTGGGTCTCCGAGGGTGATAAGACACCGTTACCGTGGTTGCTGTCTATGTGAATGATAATCCAAACTTTAACTTTGAAAAAGGAAATATATCTCTTACTAGTAAAAGTCTTTCAGACCATTCAATAAACTCGCAGTTTACATTTGATGAGGTCTTCAGCCATAGAATGGCCGCCGTGACGTCATGTAAAAACACTGTAGCTCCAATGGAGCGTTTTCACATGACGTCAAAGCGGCCATATTGGTGTTCCAAAACAATGAAACGGCGGCCATGTTTGTGTTCCGAACTAATTTTCTCCATACGACAGTTATATCCAAGCTGGCTAAACACGTCGTGGTTGCTAATAGCTAAACCACTGCTGCTCAAACTGATTTCGTTTTCCATTTTTCAGAGTTTTTAGCATCGGTCCCTTGAGTCAAGGAAAGCTCAAATTTCAAAAAAGTACTAGTTGTATTTTTTTGGCCTCAAAAACTTTCTTTTAAGTTGCCCATAGTTTTGGAAATAGATTTTGACAAAAGTGATAACGCTTGTAACGTGCATGGTATAAGACTTTTTAACTGAAGTCGACGAACAAATCGACGATTTTGGACTTTGAAATTTGCCATTTTTTCATCGAAAGAAATATCTCCAAGATATTACATTTTTGTTCAAACTGAGTAAATCACCATTTAAAATGTGTACAATTTTGTACTTTTCTGACAAAGTTATTTGTTGCTCGCCCTTAAATTGATGAAGATTGATTTGATTCTTAAAACGACACACGGCCGTCTGGCCTGTAAAACAACCAGCCCCGCGTACGTCTAAAATAATTATCGGATCGGAGTAAAAATCACATTAATGTTAATAACTTACCTGGTACCACTTTGCGAATTTTTTTGAGAATTTTCGATTTTTCACTAATGTAGACCTCCGGCAGATATTTTACTGACATCCGCTCTTCATACGTCCAAAAACCACCTTTTATTCCCTCTCTTAACACGAAGATCAAGAAGATGGTTGATTTTCATCATTCTCAAATCACTGGGTATTTTAACTTTTTGTATTCGCTTTCAACAGGAGCTCATAACTTACGTCCGGAGCGAGTAACGCCCAATACTTGGCCGATGTTACAGCGTTTTTACAGACAAGTTTATTTTTAGACACATTCTAGGGCACTTTTTCCCGCGAAAATATAATAGAATCTCCACCATGTCGATGAGCGTTTTCGAAGTATAACATATCAAAAATGAAAACTAAAAGTTATTAAAAGGCAAAAAATATCGTCCGTGAAAACGTCGTGACACAAGTGCATGGAAGTTGCTCGCTCCAGGTTATGGGCTCCCGCTTTTAAGGGCAATAAATTTAATTTTTGTGTCTCAAGGAAAGTGTACGTGTCTGGTTCGATTGTGAGCATCAGTATGATGCCGGTTTTCAATAGGTTGTATATTGATTTTTGTTAAAAAGTACCCGGAGTTTACTGCAGAGCCAATTAAGTCAGCGTATGCAAATATCGGCTTCGTTCCTTGGCTCGCATGCATGATTAACTGACTCCCAATGAGCCAAGAGTTTGTTCTCACTGAAGTTCATGACTATTTTAAGTACTTCCACAAAAAAAGCAAACACCATTATTGCAAGAGATACTAGAATTCTATCATACTGAACCTCTTAGACGCGTTTTCAGAATTTACAGGTACTGTTGTTATATTGTTATATTTTATTTTTTCGCATTCTTTTAAGAGCGGAAATGGTGGCTAGCTATGGGGCGTAAACAAAAGAGGTTGCTAAAAAAAGTTAGGTAACTTTTTCGTCACTAAAAGCAGAGAAGTCAGAAAGTATCAAGAATTGGTCATTTTATCGAGATAGAGGAGGCTACGTTTTTTGTAATCACCTTTTAAGTCTTTGTCTGTGCTTAGCGTTAATTGAAAGAAATGAATGATACAATTAAGCGGCTTTTCGTCTTGCCAGAGGCGATCGCCTTTTTATAGTGTTTAAGTAGAGATACTTTAAGAGACAAGTCTAATAGGTCACATTTATGTCCAAGCCGTCCAGAAACGACTAAGAAGAGTCAGTGTTTTATCTTTTATTCACAAAATTCTGCTTTTTCCAATGCTTTCGTCAACTTTTTTTCCTCCTTGAACTTTTATGCTTCACATTTTTTTCACCAGTCGACTTCAACGCACTCTAACGCGTTAAATGCCTCTAGACGACTTTATCATCTCTAGCATAAGAACGGCCATTGTGTCTTCTGTAACATTAGGGAAGTGGAAGACAGGTGTTAATATATGAAAGAAACTATCAGGCAGTCACTCATTAGCATGAACGAATGCCTTCATTAGTATACAGGAAGGCACGTAATTTACCGGTTAGACTTAATTAAGGAAACGACGTCATAGGTAGATATTTACTAAGACAATAAAAATATTAATATAGGAGAGGCAAACGGAAGGCATGGCAAGGTAAAAACAATTATCCGTACAGTTAACTCCCTCGAAGACAGATACTTTGGGTCCGGCATGACTAAATGTCCCTTTTAAGAGAGATATCCATCTTACAGAGAGTTAAAGAAAGGAAGTAAAGAAAGGCAGCTAGGGACCAACTCTGAGTGTCTATTTTACCAAGGTATTCTTCACTTTTGGAATTTTCTGGAGAGTTTGTGGTTTTCTGTACGTTCATAAATGAAATTGAGTGATTTTCACTTAAAATTTAATTGAACGATGTGTTTTGAGACTTAAATCAAAATGATGAGACATCATGTTCTTCTCAAAAGGTATCAATGAAGGTTTTATTTTTCTACAGACAACAACCACGATCGCTTAAATTATATTACCAAAAATTTTATGCCAATAAAATACATTATGCAATAACTAAACATTTTGAAGACATATTAAAAAGGTAGTAATATTCGCAGTCTCCAAGACAATTGCCCAAGAGTGTAGTACATTACTTACTCGCGTTATCATTTCTGCAAGTTATATGCTTCGATATTCTTGAAATTACGAACGAGGGTGTAATCAGGTGCTTTGCTTAAACAGTTTTACAATAGAGTACTAAAGTTATGACGTCATAAAAATGAAATTTCTGAAATTATGGGATTTGTCAGGATATTCTGAAAGAACAATGTCAAAGAGGCCTACTTGCCAAAAATGAGCATTTGGGGGCAAATTGTCTCTGAGATCGTAGCCCAGTTATACTCAGAAAACTCCATACAAACCCTTCTAATTTTTTTTTGGGTCGACCCAAACAAAATTTAGAAGGGTTTGTATGGAGTTTTGTAAGCATAACTGGGCTACGATCTCAGAGACAATTTGCCCCCAAATGCTCATTTTTGGCAAGTAGGCCTCTTTGACATTGTTCTTTCAGAATATTCTGACAAATCCCATAATTTCAGAAATTTCAGTTTTATGACGTCACACTTTAGTACTCCATACAATAGGGAAAATGTGCGACCTGTGGTGAGTTATCTTTCATGTCATTAAATATTCACATTATTTAATTAATATTCAAGCTATGATTTTAAGTCATCAATCACATTTTATTGACATGTTTTTGCTTCATTGCGTACCGTAATTTAAGGGGCTGTGTCACGGTTGCCTAGTTTCGTGTTTCTTACAATCACGCCATTTTCCATTTGCGTGTCTCGCGCGTTTTGCTCGACGGACCAAGTAAAAAGAGAGACTGCTCGTAGTCTATACTTGCTATGGAACTAGAGACATTACCTGTGAATGACAAATATGTCTCCCAAGCATTGTATCAAACGCTACAAACAACAAAATAGAATTTTGAAAAACTTTTACGCTAACAAGTTCCCAAAAACCACAATTTCAATCCGTTTTAATCTTCCTCCAGTTTGTCCATCCGCTTCTCCTTTTGCCTCCTCTGCTGTGTCATTTATACCTTCTTTTCATGTTTTCAGCTGTTATTTTGATGTTTCACGCAGTTTAGTTGCGGTCCCAGCTCTTTGGCTTAATTTCGTGACGCATCTCCGTTAAATTTACCTTTCCTATAACCTGGACCTTAATTTTCGATGTATGTTAGTGCCTATGTAGATTCTCGAGCGTGCTCTGTGAGGCAGTTCGAATTATGTAGCCAGACTAATATGCCCTTCGCAGCTAGTTATTCACGCAGTGCAAAACTACCATGCTGGGGACCAAGGGTTGCCCTGCGACAAGACAAACGGCTCAGTTATATCATTTAAAATCGTGGTAATTTGCTTTGTTTTTTCTTGCCCCAGTGCGTCTCAGCTGTTTCTCTCCTGCATAGAGAGTTATAGAGGTTTTGTGAATGCCAAGCTGTAAAGTGCTTATTTTCTTTTTTCAACAGAGTGTTGCTTAGGTCCTCGCAAGACTTTTTCTACTAAACCAAAATGTACGGGATTCTTCTGGAAAGTGTCCAGCATTTCCTTACGGAGAAATTCGGTGAGGCTAAATGGAACGAGATTCGAGAGCGTGCTGGAATATGCAATCACATGTTTATTACGCATAAGCAATACAGTGAAAGCTCGATGACGAAAATTGCTGACACTGCCGCCGAAATACTCGGAGAAGAGACTGACATGTTAAGTGACGACTTTATGCAATATTTTGGCACTTGTTTCGTGAAATTCTTTAGTCACTATGGATACGATCGTGTCATCAAAGTAAGCGGCCGCTGCCTCCGAGATTTTCTGATAGGAATTGACAGCTTACACGAGCACATGCGCTTCGGTTATCCACAGCTTCAGTCCCCGAGTTTCTTTTGTGAGGAAGAAACAAGCTCTGGGCTAATTTTGCACTACATTTCCAAACGGAAGAGGTTTATGTTCTACGTGGTTGGTCAAATCAAAGAAATCGCGTCTCAGTTCTATAACATGGACGTGGATGTAAAAGTTCTAGGCAACGAAGTCGTCAATAATACAACTCACGTTGTCTACCGCTTGGGTTTTGACAATTCTGGGTACAAACCTCCGGCTCCAGACTTACTATCCATTAAGAGCCAGCAAGGTATCAACGTGAAGATTTTTTTCAGTATATTTCCTTTCAGTTTTGCCTTGTCGCAAGATATGACAATCAATATGGCTGGACACGGAATTATAGCTTCTGTGGGAAATCGTATCATCGGAAACGACATCAGAGAGTTTTTCATTATGAGAAGACCACAAGCCGAGTTCACATGGGAAACGGTTAGTATGATAAAATGGTGTGTTGTTTGCCGCAAAAGCATACATTTAAAAGAGGCCTGTCACTTTGAATAAGATTCTGAGGCCATTACCGGTACCCTATACCCAGAGTAGCTAATTTAAAATAAAACATATGATTGACATCGCTTTGTTTCCCCCTGAAGTCGATGAAGAGTTAGTTCCTGAGTTCTTGAACGAGATCGAGAGTTCTTTTTCAGTTTACAATTGAGCTACTTACAGTGCGGATACTCAAACCAGGACACTTCTGAGAATTAAGATTGTGCAATCACAACGTTTTCTGAAAACAAAAGTTTTTTGCAAACGGACCAATAATATTAAGTTTAAAGATTTCAACGGTTGCATAGTTGAACCTAGAATTTTACTGGTCCGTTTGCAAACAAAAAAAAAAAGGAGAGTAAGAATTGAGAATCCTTTGTTTTCAGAAAACGTTGTGATTAGACAATCTTCTTTTAAGAGTGACGGTTTTAAGAGCCCCACAGTAGCCTGCGTTGCAGGCGCTTGGTAAAAGTGGGCGCAAGAAAGAACGAGCGCGCGAGAGAGAGGCACACGAGTGCCCCTTTCTCCCTTTCGCGCGCCCGTTCTTTCTTGGGCCTGCTACGCACGTTATCCCCACTGTAAACACAGTTTGGGAGGAAGTTGACAAAAAAAAAATTAATGGACACACCTGGGACTCGAACTCGGAACCTCCCGTAACTACTGACCCTGCTTATCCTTCATCGTTCCTAACTGGCCATAGAAAATTCACGAAGCCCTTCGACAAAGGTCACAGCGTATCTTTAGGGTCGTTTCTAGTCGCGCCAGCAAATCTGCATTCTTTCAGACCAATAGACCCTTCCATTGCTTTTTCAACGTTTGACCAGGACGAGATAGCAAAAATCCGTCCACGCAGCGGGAAAGAACGTGTGTAAATTAGTAAAGTTGCTAAGTTTGAATGAGATTTGTTAAAAACTAACGAACAGACGTTTGTATACGTGCGTTCGGGGTTCGAGGTTCGGGCCAACTTGACTACAACCTTTTGTAAATACAGATTCAGACTGCTTTGCTGAAATAAGGAGTTGACCATTTGACTTTTGAGAGGTTGGGATATGGGTGATTTGGTTTGGGTGAGAACTGTTCATCCCCACACCTCTAGAGATAAATTAGCTTGTGAGCAAGCTCTTTATAGATTTTTCCTCGACATATGACGGTGAAAGANCATTGCTTTTTTAACGGTTGACCAGGACGAGAAAACAAAAAACCGTCCCCGCAGCGGGAAAAAAAGGTTGTAAATTAATAAAATTGGTTAGTTTGAATGGGATTTGTTAAAAACTAACGAACAAACGTTTTTTTACCTGCCCCCCCCCCCCCCGACCGAAACCCTTTGGACGCATCACCTTTAAACTTGGGAAGTCACCATATTTCAAGGCCCTCTTTCAAGTAGTTTCGGTGGATATTCGTTTACTGCTTTTTATCCAAAAAGTTGAAAATGGAAAGGTCTATTAATTGTGGAGTTCTCCCTCACTCTTAGTTTACGACGAGGCAAGTAGTGTTTGAGTTGACCTGTACTCTACCAATCTTACACCCTTCCACCCCCGCGAACGTCAACTCCATCCAGTCCTCACTGGATTTCAAAAACGGAAACACCGACTTCGAGGAAAATGAAAATCCGGCGCAGCAGATGCCCCACAAACCACAGCTTCATCTACGGGGAATCATGAAGTACATAAGCTCATGGAATAAAGTGATCTACATTTGCTCTCCATTGTATGTTATTGAATTTACAGTCGACTCCCGATAACTCGAACCCTCGCTAACTCGAATCAGACTCGGTTTCCCCTGGATTTCCTTCACACATTTGCTGTAATTTTACCCTCGATTAACTCGAACCATGTTTTGAGCGCTTAAAGTCGGGAAAAAAAAAACATTGTACTGGCGTCCGAAACATTGAATTTTGAATTTACCATTGACGTGTTGTAGGCTTATAGCTTTGTTTGGCACAAATCTACATGAAATAACTTTTATTCTCGAAATAGTTAAACGCACACTCTATTTAGGCTATGTTTTATTACTTTACGTTCTGATTTATATTCTAGAAGCATGATTTCATTTTAACTTGACATTTTTACAGTTAAATGTGATTAAAATGTTCACTGCACAGTCAAAACTGGTTTTTCCCTTACTTCCGGCTATTTGCTTCGAGGTACCGATAACTCGAATTTTTTTCGACTTCCCTTGAAGGTTCAAGTCATCGGGAGTTGACTGTATATCGTTTGTTATGGTTAATAGAATTTGTTTATCTATGCATCCAAGAAATTTTTTACCATAACTGAGCGATATCTCACGCGCTGATTGGTCGAAAGCTCATGTTCGACAAGAGTACAGGCCATCGAAATGACGTGATTGTGGCGCAAGTTTGTTTTTATCTTTTTCGCGTGGCGATTATCCGAGAATTTCAACGGAAGTGGACTCCAAAACCGTCAATGCTATGGTAAAAAACAAAACAATTTTCCATGGTCTGTACTCTCATCGACCAACGAAATGACGTCAAAGTGTCAAAACTTTGCAGTGAAACCACTACATGTACTTACGTCTGCCCTTTCCTGTACGCGGACGTGAAGTGTCACACTTACTAGGTTGAAGTTCAAGTATTTGCACAAAATACACAGTAACTTTGATATTTAGAAGTTCTTCAATCTTGCCTCGCAATTCGGCACCATGTAGTTGTTCTTTTTGTATTGCGAACTGTATTTACCGTAGATTTCTGATTACTCACTTTCTTGCAATAAAGCTGTGGGCAAGAATTCACTTGCAGATGGGAGATAAATCGTCGCCACTCTTTCTCTATTTGTACGTCAGCTTTGACCAACAGTTTGTGCAGCGGGTTCTGTGGTCACGATTGACTTTAAACTTGCAGATATAAAACTAGAGAGCTCTGAGGCTTATTTGTTGAAGTTAGAGAAAAATTTGTAGTAGGGTTTCGAAGTTATTGAAATTTTTTTGTAAAAAATGCGATTTTAAAAATATGCCGATCTCTCAAACGCTTTTAAACCAGTCCTACAAGAAAATAAATAACATTTTCTTAAATTTCTACCATTCTTTTTTAAGGATGCAAAAAAATCATAGAAATCAGTTAAATCGTTCCTGCCCAAAAACGCGATTCAAAAACTTAACCAAGGCATGTATAAAGAGGTTCGGGCCAACTTGACTACAACCTTTTGTAAATACAGATTCAGACTGCTTTGCTGAAATAAGGAGTTGACCATTTGACTTTTGAGAGGTTGGGATATGGGTGATTTGGTTTGGGTGAGAACTGTTCATCCCCACACCTCTAGAGATAAATTAGCTTGTGAGCAAGCTCTTTATAGATTTTTCCTCGACATATGACGGTGAAAGATTTTTTCCAGCATTATCCGCCATGAGAGAGATGTTTTTTCAGTGAAGAATATTCGCCCCCCCCCCCTCCCCCAACCCTCCCTCATAAGTCAAATGGTCGACCTTTTACGTGCCAAATAATTTGCCTAAGAATTAATGTATCTTGTTGGAGGTTGGCTCTTGGACGTCGCTAAAATATACTGCATATCTTTCAACAGAATCGGAGGTACTGAAGAAATGATGCGCCTTGGTATGTACATGAACGATCTAAGTTTGCACGACATGTCACGCGAGATGGTGCTCTCTGGGATAAAACCAATGCATCAACTAGAGAAGACCTTGGAAAAGGTATCAGAACTTAGCCCAACAAGTACTTTTAGGGGACAGCTCGTTGGCTTTTCAAGACTTATTTCCTTTTTCAGCTTTGATTGATAAATGTCCTGAACATTCTGGTACGTTCTTATTTCATTTGGCAATAAAATAAACGTGGATTATGTTCGGGGCGCTATTTCGTGTGGCACACTCTTTTACCATGAATTTGAGTAGACTTATGAAGTAGAGTACTGTAGAAAGTCATAAGAGGATATTTACATAACAGAAACTGAAAAATAAATTCGGTTCCTTATGATCTCTTCTCTTTTCTCTTTGATCAGGAATTCGAAAAAGGAAAGGCCTTAGAAGAAAACATGGAAAATTTGGCGTTGACGAGAAAAAAAATTGAAGAGTTGCACTGTAGAAAGATGGGGAAAGCCATCGCCGATAGATTGAGACTTGGTGGTGGTAAGGTTGTGGAAACCTGTGAGGTATGTTGCTAACTCTAAGATGTGCCAACAGAATCCCCTAATACTAAGGACCTGCGCTGCTAAGCAGTTCTCTTATGTTGAACTGTTTATTCTACTCAAGAAAAAACCTAATAAAATCGTTGGAAATAAGGGGGATCTAGAATAATAAAAATAATTCATATTTGGCTCGTAAGCAAAAGAGTGTAAAACAAAATTTGAGATTCAGGGATGAGTAACTTATTGCCTATTCTTTTCAGCCTCGGAGCCATTCAAATATAGTCTAAATTTATTCATAACAATAATTTTATACTTCGAGTACATTCATTCCAAACGTAAAAAACTACAATATGTTTATCCTCTATCAGAAACGCCAATTGAGGAAACTATTCAGCGTAAATTCGTCACAAATTCGCCAATTTCCTTCATTTTAAGTTTTTGACCACGTGACATGTCACGTGACCATTAATATACGTTAACCACAAGGAGACCTGAAGATCCACATTAAGGAAAAGTTTCATCTCGTTAAAGGCATCCCAGCTACATTTTCTGAACACGTGTCCTTTGATCCAGGCTTCAAACCCCTTGAGAAATGTTTTTGCACGGTTCACGGTGATTTATCTCCTTACTTTGATTTGTAGAATTTTGAGAGTGTCACGGTTATGTTCAGCTACATGGATGGCTTTGAAAGCATCTGCTCACAGGTCGGAGCTATGGAAATTGTGAGCCTGGTAAACAACATGTTTGCCATATTCGGCAAACTGGCAGAGAAGCACGATGTCTATGAGGTAGTCGAGTGATTAAAGAGGGGAAACATCCGGTTCTATTTTCAGACCTTTAAAACCTGATTCATTTCACTGCTATGCATAGCCTGTGCATACAGATAAGTGTTCTACAAAAGGAACGATCGAACGGTGAATAGGAGAACAAAGAAAAGAGATCTGTGAGAAAAAAATTAAATAATGGTTACAATATAACCCTTATATTTCTAAAAATACCCGTCAGTCTCACCACATTCGCTCTAGTGCCTACTCAGTTAAGGAATGGGATACTTCTGAAAGGTTGTTCAAAGGCACCACAGTGAAGGATTACAAAGTTAAAGGGGCTTACACAAGTACCTACTAACAAAGCAGGAAAATTTAGTGATGCCTTCACTGCTGCAAGTACATCTACAGGCATGTTTATACCCCGTGACAGTACCCCCTTTACAGGTCTAGAGGGTAGAAATGCTGGAGTAAACGAAAGAATCCCAACTGGCCGGGTCCAAACCAGCTGGCTATTTACAAACGTGACCGAAGACCTGAGCGCAGGACTACAGAGAGCAATCCAGCAAACGATCAGGAAAGGACTTGTACGCCTGGCCTCCGGATTACAAGTCCAGCGCCCTAACTTCTCCACCATGCTGCTCTCTAATAACGACTAGAAATAGTACAGATTAACTGGAGACTGGTTAATTTGCAGGTTGAAACCTCGGGTGATGCAATGTACATGACTGTCAGTGGTGCGCCAGTGAAGACATGCGTCATGCTGAAGCAGCCTCAGCAATGGCACTTGATATGCTAGAGGGCGTCAAGCTTATCAAAAATCCTGCCGATAAAAAGCCTATGACAGTCTCCATTGGTAAGCAGTCAACCAAATCATAGTGTAGCATTTGCGATTTGCTTTTTTTCAGTTGAAGTTGTAAAACCCATGTCGGAATGATTGTCCCAGTCCATCGAACATACGGTCAATATATTTGAAAGCAACCAGTATTTTAGGCAAGTAATCACTTCCAGTTGGTATTTATATCTGATGAATCCAGAAAAAGTTGATAGACCTCTTAGTTAACCACATACACGGTCCGCTGAAATCAAAACATATTTTTCAACAATAAAATAAAAATATCAGAATAGCATTTCTGGGTCATCGAAGGCGTTATACCCCCATCCCCCCTTGGAAATACATTGCAGTACGCACATGCACTGCACCATCGTAAAGAGTGATGTAATTAAAGAAAAATGTCAATAGTGATTTGTGCGGCATGACCCAAAATAATGTAAATGATGGTGGTGAAACATTTCGTCCACATAACTTGTTTTCGTTTTGGTTGCTTGTTTTCAAGATTTTCTCGCGAAGTATTGGAATTGTTTGGTTTTGTTTGTTTTAATAATGGTCTCCTGCTTCACTTTACGCAGTATTCAGTTTTAGCATTTGAAACAGTAAGTTTTGGATAAATGATACGTTCTTATTTCTCTTGAAGTCTAAATTTCACCTTTATCCTCCTTGCCAGGCATGCATTCGGGTCCTGTCGCGGCAGGATTAGTTGGTAAGAGGAGACCACAGTACTGCTTATTTGGCGACACAGTTAACATTGCCTCACGGCTCAGGTCAACATCACTGGTATGGTATAAATGAAGACCAAAAATGTTTGTAATTTATTATATTCATTTTGAAATCACTGGTGATCCCTGCAATCTAATTGGCTCTTAGTGGTGTGATTTATTCACGAATAACTATTTTTTGCTTTAAATCACTTCCCTTCTAAACCGCGTCATTCATCTTCTAAATAACGTCATTTCTGTTTTAAATCGCACCATTTTCGCTCTATGTTGCAGCATTTCTGTTTCGGGTATAAAATGAGATTTAAAAGCCTTTTTGATCCCGCTTTTCAACAAACCGGCTACTTGGTCAAATAAATGTTGGTATTGATTTAATACTTGTGATTTCAAATCGAACTCGCGCTGCGCGCTCGTCCAATTTCAAAATCACGCGTATGATTTCAGACCAAATTGCACTCCACTCAGCTCAATTACCATTGCTAATAGACCAGGTCCCGGTTGTTCAAACGTTGGATAGTGCTGTCCACCGGATAAAAATCTATCCAGTGGATAACGCAATTGTTTTCCCAAATACTTATCCACTGGAGAGTGATTTATCCAGTGGATAGCGCTATCCAACGTTTGAACAACCAGGGCCAGACATTATAGCAAAGCCTCCGCGCGCTTGAAGCGCCAGCAGCAGAGCCCCATCACTTAAAAATTGGAAACCTATGAGATGTGAGAAAATTTGGTCATGAAGTCAGCTCACGCCAATGCGCCCGCCCTTCCGCCCATACCGACTCCGGGGGAGGGGGAGGGCAGACGATGTAAGAGTGGGAAATGTAGTCCCAGACATGCACTTTGCGTTTGTCTTGGCGAAAAGTTAAGCAGTTTAGAGACAACCACTGGAGTTACTCCAGTAAAAACCTCGAAGTTTCTCATGTTTGACTTTAACTACAAATTCTTTCAAAAATACATTTTAGGGCTGCAGTTTAGCTTGGTAACGCTTTTTGTGAGCTTTTAGTCTCAGGATTGTTTAGTAATTACTGAAACTTTAAGTTGGATTTTTAGTTTTAAGCATTTCGTGTTCCTTCACCGCCGCTGCGAAATGAAATATGGGGCAATTAAGATTCTTCAGTTGTTCAGAGATCGTTTGTTTGTTTGGATTTTTTATTTAGGAAAGCTTCGCATAAAGTGAATAGGATTATGGATGGTTGTGTTTAAATTTTGATAAGTAAATCATGGAAAACTACTAGTATGCACTGCCACTTAATGAGGGCTTTTCGCCATTTTTTTGGTTTAAAATGATCAGTGACTCATGTCATAGCGAGTCTCATCCTCACCTCAAGGTGTTTAGTACCTTTCTGTTTTTCGATTTTGGATGATAAAAAGAAAAACAAAAGGTTGAGTTTGATCGTCCGGGTGAACGTAGTCCTGAACAGGACTGTTGTTGTTGACAGTGACTGACGTTTCGACAACCTGTGCGATATTCATCTTCAGAGTCAAAGTGAGTTGTATCACGTCAGTTGATGGTATTATACTCTGGTTATTGATCTGATTGGTCAATTATGTCGCGATGTTATTGGTCGTCTGTCAGTTATACGTGATGTTATTGGCTATGAAGACTCGTAATCAGTGATTGGTGCGTTTCGATCCGTCTACTGTCACAGTTAAACAGTCGTCTATTGTTAGTCAAATTGTCAGTTCTCCAGTTGTTCTCTCGTAGTTAGTTTTGCTTGATCTCGTCAATAAGTCGTTTGTACGGCACTGGTAACTGTTGGCTACGATTCAGTGTCGTTTGTTCTAAGTTAGTAAACCAGCTTTCTAAAGTAAGATGTTGATAGTAGTCTGTAGAATACGTTATACATGTCGCAGAGTCCCAGTCAATTTGATGTTTTGTCTTTAAATAGTGCTCAGCAATGTGATTGTTGACGTCACCATTCCTCGTTGCGCGCTTGTTTTCGGTCAGTCGCGTGCTTCGGTTTCTGCCGGTTTCACCAATGTAAGAAGCCTGGCAGTCGCAGCATTTGATATTGTATACTGCTCCCTGTCTGTTCTCCGGTTTGTCTTTGTCCTTGACATTAGTAAGCAGTCGCCGTAAAGTGGTTATCGGTTTGTGCGCAACACGTATATTGTAAGGTTGTAATATACGTGCAATAGTTTCAGAGGTGCCTTTGATGTACGGTATAGTCGTTGTCGTAACAGGGCCAGAGTTGGTCTAAGAGTTGGAATCAGTGTTACTGTGAGTGTTCCGTCTAACAAAGTCCGTGTTGTAATTGTTCTTGCTAAAAACGTTGTTAAGATAATCAGTCTCGTCTTGTAGGCTGTCAGGTGAGTCGCAAACTAGTTGCGCTCGTCTCGTCAGAGTCCGGATAGTAGTAGCCTTGTGAGAGGTCGGGTTGTACGAAGACTGGTCTAGTAATCGGTCGGTATGTGTCGGTTTTCTGTAAATAGTCGTTTTTAGTTTGTTGTTGTCGCGAGTGACCAAGCAGTCTAGAAAAGGTATCTTACCATTTCCTTCGATCTCCTTGGTGAACTGTATGTCCGCGTTCTGTCTGTTAAGGTGTTCGTGAAAATCGTCGATTCCGTCTTTGTGTACGGCGGTGAATGTGTCGTCAACGTAACGTAACCAAAGAGGTACAGTTCGCGTGTAGGTAGCTAGGGCTTGTTCCTCGATGTTTTGCATGAAAATTTCTGCTACAACAACAGAAACTGGAGAGCCCATAGCTGTACCGTGTAACTGTTTGTAGTGTTTGCCGTTGTACTGAAAGTACGTCGAAGTCAAACAGAGGTCAAACAGAGACGAAACATCAAATTGACTGGTACTCTGCGACATGTATAACGTATTATACAGACTACTATCAACGTCTTACTTTAGAAAGCTGGTTTACTAACTTAGAATAAGCGCCACTGAATCGTAGCCAACAGTTACCAGCGCCGTAGAAACGACTTATTGACATTATCAAGCAAAACTAACTACGAGAGAACAAAGACATCTAAAAGCTCGAAATTTTCTTTCAGCCAATGAGAGTGCAAATAAGTGAGGCAACAAAGAAGTGTTTGGAAAATACCGATTTTAAAGGGGACTACCGAGGAATTGTAGAGCTAAAGGTATGGTGCAAACGGTATTATGTGCATATTGTTCCTGTAGCGTGCAAAACGTTGAATTTCTATACGAGCAAATTTCCATGTATCATATTACCATTTACAGTTGTTGATTATCATTTCTTTGTCTCTTTCGTAAACAGGGAAAAGGCAAGACACGAACTTACTGGTTGAATGATCAAAGAGGCTAGACGGACATTACTACTTTTTCAGCTAACCAAGTGGATCGCAGGTTTTACAAACTTATTATAGCGACAGAGTACTGTTTCTGTGAGACCTACGATCCGAGGACGTCGCTTCAAAAGTGAATTCGAGTTTTTTCACTCTAATCGCAAATATTCCAGCTCACTACGTAAGGAAACTCTCCTGGAGTTGAATTCCTTATAAAAAGTCCAAGCTCTATAATACGGAAAATTAGGCTTTCAATGATAGGAAAAATGTACAAAAAGTGTGCTTCATGTGCAAGGGCGGCACCCAAGAAGCCCACACAAACCAGTATTTAACAACGTTTCTTTTCCTTTTCCTCTTTAATAACATTATTTAATTTGTAAATTATTTTGGACATATAATTCTTTTTCTCTTTTACATGTGTATGCGATGTATTCATTTTGTTTAGAACCCTTCTGTTATAATACTAGGAGTTTCAATTTGATCGATCTCGTCCACCTGCGTATATTGTAGTCATGCATATTTTGTATGAGCGAAATAAAAAAATAGTTTATTGATTGAAACGTGGTTGCATTGTTTTGGTAGAGCAGTAGGGAATGGCAGAACATTTCACACTTTTCGTGAAGAAGTAATAGCCGAACTTCTTCCTTAAAACATAACAAGAACAACAAGAATACAACTAGACGAATGAAATCTGTTATGGACTACCTACTAGACTAAACATCCCCTCATCTCCTGAACGTTCCAAAAATAAAAAAGGCAATTGAGGACGGGAACTTAACCTTGATCTAGGTGTGTTTTATTGTTTATACTAGGACTTAATTTAAATGAATAATACACAATTACTGGATTCGGCTATCGTATGATCGGATAAATTATGCAGTTCTCGGAGGGTGCTATCTTTCTCGATGCGTAACACCACCCTCGATTACCATAGTTCTCCAGCTCACAGTCAGCCTTAGGGCTGTTTACAAGAAGGTGAGGGACCCCAGGTAGCTGGGGTAACCCGCCAGTCCATATACAGTGGAACCCCGCTCTACGGACACCCGCTTTATACGGACATTTTCGTTTGCCCCGACAAAAAGCTCATATATTTTCTCTAAAATTAACCCGCTTTATACGGACACCGGTTAATACAGACAACGGACACTTTTCTGTGTCCCGAGTAACAAACTCTCATATATTGTCAATCCCGCTTTACGAACACTGGTTATCTGCTCATTGTCTATTTTCATTGTCACAATTATGTGAGACATTGTACCCTGTTCAAATAATGACAGATTTTTACGGGTGAATAAAATTTTATTACAGTACTAAAAAAAAACAGGAACAAAGTAACATGACATATTTGATTTTGAACAGTCTGTCTTTCTTGCGGTGTTTGACTCTTGTACTACGTATAGTCCTTTAATAAAGTTTTCTGCCTCCTGTGACACGTGTTTCACTACCTTGGATTTTGTTGCAGTCATTGCTCTTAACCATCTTCTTCTTTGACGTTATTTGCTTGCTGCGAGCAGCACCGGGATCATCCTTCGTTCGTATTGCTGGGTTGTTGCTAACGTCTAGTAATTGTTCAAGTAAATCCACATGTTTTCGAGGACCATCAAAAATGTAAACACATGGTATCATGGTTTTTCCATACCAAGACCTCCACCCCGATTGACTCCCTTTCCACATACTTCTACCGATCCTTGGTTCGTAAAACTTAGCGAAAACTGTCTGCTTTGTTCTTTATATCGATAGAACATGTGCTCTTGACGTTTTCTCTGAGAGCCCGCTTAATACGAACACCCGGATAATAGGGATACTATGGCATGTCCCCTTGGTGTCCGTATTAACCGGGTTCCACTATAATCTTTCATTTTCATTTGATCACGTTTACATGATAGGTGGGGTGACCCCCTGCATGGTGCCTCACCTATCTGGGGTCCCCAACCTCTATGTAAACAGGCCTTCAGACCCAGTTTCCACGGGTCGGGACAAAGTTTTGAACGGATAAAAGCTTGGACGGATCTCCCTTTCGTAGGCCTACTCTGGGACCTTAACTCGCTGCGAGATTGTGCGAGCTAATGCGAGTTTAGGCGAGTTAAGGCGAGATAAGGAAAAATTGAGCCCGCCTATTAGTTGCGAGTTTGTGCGAGTTAAGGCGAGTTAAGGGAAAATGATCCATCTTATGTTGAGGTTATAAGGCTTAAAACTTATAATATGCTTTAGTAACATACATATAAAGATGCCTTGGAATCTTTGTATGTCTTATATAATTATATATAGTAGGCTCCATGTTGTCCAATTACGAAAAAATTAAACCAAAAATTTCAGATGAGCTCCAAAGTTGAATGAAGCCAAATCTTGTTTAAATTAATAAACTGAAATATTTTCCTAATTGGACAAGCTTAAGTATGGATATGCTAGTGATATGGAGTCCTGTTCTTTATTAATTATATAGCATTTAGACTCCAAACTAGACCATTTGGTGGCTGTATCATAATAATAATCATTGTCATCATCATCATATATTATTTATTAAAGCTATATAATTATTTGGCAGAGTAATAAATTACCAGTAGTGAGGAAAAAAAATGAAAACAAACCTCTATGTAAACAGGCCCTCAGACCCAGTTTCCACGGGTCGGGACAAAGTTTTGAACGGATAAAAGCTTGGACGGATCTCCCTTTCGTTGATAATCCGACAATACGGACTCCTTCCCAGCCCCAAACGGTATGAAATGGGAAATGGCCAAAAGCAGTTTTTGCCATTAAAAAGGAACTTTTCTGAATACAGTTCTTTAATTTTTTTCGATGACTTCACCAGTACCTCTGAGTGTTGCGTAAATCGTTTAATTCTGACTTATACATGGTAATATTACAACAATGCACCGACATGACGAATCATTTCTGAAACATCTAAAGATGTTGGCTGAGTCAAGTGAAGAATACGAGCTTGAGGCTTGTCTGGCGAAAACTGTAAATCCATCAAACAAGAAGTGGAGGCTAGGTTTCTTTGAAAGAGTTCTGTTCTCTATGGAAAGATCAATTTAAAGTAGTTGTGAGATGCATTTTAAAATCATGTAACATTGCTTGAACGCATGAAAGAGGCACAAGAACTTCATTTTTTCACGATTAAGATACATGGGAAGAAATTAGTCAGAAATATAAAGCTGCCGGCGCGGTTTAGAGGCGCGGAGCTGTTCATGGGACAGTTTCGCACCATTTATATTCTTCTCGCGGGATTTGTATCACTCTTCGTGATCGCTTTCTTCCTGTTTTACAATGTTTCTATTACGGTAGTTTATATTATTGGATATTCAGATGTCTGTGTCTGTGTTTGTCTGTGTCCCTCCCCTACGCGACCACTAACTCTTCGCATTTTTGGTGTTCACTTACGGAACACTTGACTGAAGACTCTTAGTAACAAGGTATTCAGCGTTCCATGTTTTTTCCTGAATCATTTCCCCTGGGTTTCGTGCCACTGCATTAGTAGGGGAATATACTTTTCCACAAATTTTTTGGCCACTTCTCAAGGGTGATTTTTAGCAGATTTTCGTACCAGGCGGGCACATATTGTAGTCTAGACCATTAACAGTATTTTACGGGTACAGTCGAACCTCCATGTGCGACTACCTCTGATAAGCGACCACCTCTTATAAGCGAAACACCAAAAACCAGAAACAGTAAAGTTTTCCAGTTTGCCTATAGTTAGAACCTCTCTTAAGCGACCGCGACAACTTTTTTGGATGACGGCGTTAGATTTTTCCCTTGTTTTAATCCTCCTGCAAGAGAGCACTTAGGGCATGGTGTGATCTCCATGTTCTTGATATGTTCTACACTACTAAGAGGTGCAATGTACTTTTAGAAACAAAATAAAACAACACATATCGAAATTGAAGGCCATGAATTTTCCTCTGAAATGTAGATGTGTTAGGACCTCTTCTAGGAAGAGTCGCCCTGAGGTTCGATTCTTCGGTATCGGGTCGTGTCGCCCAATAAGAGTTGGCCCAGACTAAGTCGATTCGCCCGACGAGTATTTGTCGTTCTTTAAGCTTGAGAAAAAGGATTAAGCATGGAAAGACAGTGACTGTACATGTTGAATCCAAGGTTAACTAAAATAACATCTCGGAGAAGTAGGTTCACCATGTTGTAGAGTGTTGTATGTCATCTGGGGAATCTAAGTCCAGGCGAACGCCTTCGGACGAAACGATCGCAATTCTATTCTTCGAGGCGATCACTTCCTGTACGCGAAAAGTAATTATTTGCATTTTAGGTAGCCACTTAAGAAAGTTAGCCTGCATAACGGGCGTTATTTTTTTTCGTTTGTCAGGAGAGGAAAGGCGATCGCGAAGTGCGCGAGGAGCGCCAGACACGCGCGACGGGGGATCTGCGCTTTCCCCGCCTGTTATGCAGGCTATGGAAAGTTCGAATGTATATTATTGATGTAACCAGGTTACATCTGTA